CATTGAACGCTTTATTCCGGCTCTTATCAAGGCTCTCATTAATCCCGTCGAGGAGGTGCCTAATACCATTGCTCTCCTCTCGGCAACCACATTCGTTTCAGAAGTAGACTCGCCCACCCTCTCCCTCATGGTCCCTCTTCTCTCCCGTGGTCTCTCTGAGAAGCTCACCGCCACCAAGCGCAAGGTCGCTGTGTAAGCTTTTTTCGAAATCAGTTGTAAACTAACAGGTTGCTGATCGGTCTATTTATAGCATCGCTGATAACATGGCTAAGCTCGTCGACTCCCCCGTCACCGTCCGCCCCTTCTTGCCCAAGCTCCTGCCCGGTCTCATCAAGGTCGAAACCACCATCGGTGACCCTGAGGCCCGTGGTGTCGTCGGCAAGGCCATTGCCACTCTCCGCCAGGTCGGTGAGGTCCCCGAGGGCGATGGCTCCGATCTCCCTCCCCTCAAGCAGGCCGAGGGCCCCGGTTTGGCGCAGTCCCTTGTCTCCATCTACAAGAAGCTCGGCGCCGAGATCTCCGTCGCCAATGTTTCCACCATCTACGCCTCGCAGCTCGCTGCCAACCTCGTCAATGCCAAGAACTTCGAGGTTCCCCAGTGGGACGCGCTTGCACCCTTCCTCGGCTTCGTCACCGCCACCCCCGAACCCGTCAACGCCACTCGGGAGTGGGTCGTCCGCTCCGCGACTGAGGGTCTCGAGGACGAGGAGGCTCTTGACGATGAAGAGGAAGGCGAAGACCTTTGCAACTGCCAGTTCTCTCTTGCCTACGGTGCCAAGATTCTGCTCAACACCGCTACCCTCCGTCTCAAGCGTGGCCACCGCTACGGTCTCTGCGGTAAGAACGGTACCGGCAAGTCGACCCTGATGAGGGCCATCACCAACGGGTAAGCCTATTTTCTTATCGAGTGGCTTCAGGGTTATTGATTCATTTCGCTTCCTAGCCAAGTTGAGGGCTTCCCCTCCCCTGACGAGGTCCGCACCTTCTACGTCGAGCACGACATTGATGGCTCTGAGGAGGACACCTCCGTCCTGGAGTTCATCCTTACCGACAACCGCATCCTCGCCGGCAAGGAGGAGATCATCGAGACCCTCGCATCTGTCGGTTTCTCCGATGAGCGTCAGAAGCATGCCATTGGCTCCCTCTCCGGTGGTTGGAAGATGAAGCTCGCCCTTGCCCGCGCCATGTTGTTCAAGGCCGACATTCTTCTCCTTGACGAGCCTACTAACCATTTGGATGTTGTCAACGTCGCCTGGTTGGAGAACTACCTGACCAGCCTCAAGACCTGCACTTCCAGTACGTATCCACAGCCACATTTGCTGTAGACCATAGGCTGATCGATGTCCTTTGTCCTCCAGTCATCGTCTCGCACGACTCCGGCTTCCTCAACAACACCATCACTGACGTCCTCCACCTGAACCGCTTCAAGCTCCGCCGTTACCGCGGTAACCTCGAGAAGTTCGTCGCTCAGGTTCCTGAGGCCAAGTCGTACTACACCCTCGAGGCCGCGGAGGACTACAAGTTCAAGCTCCCCGACCCCCCTCTGCTCGAGGGTGTCAAGACCAAGGAGAAGTCCCTCCTCAAGATGTTTGTACTCTCGCATTTTCCGTATCGCAATGTTAACTAACTTCTTTGATTAGGCGTAAAGTCGGCTTCCAATACCCGACACAGCCCGTCCAGCAGCTGTATGACATCACCCTCCAAGTGTCCCTGTCCTCCCGTGTTGCCGTCCTTGGCCCCAACGGTTCCGGCAAGTCGACCCTCGTGAAGCTCCTCATCGGCGACATGGAGCCCAACAAGGGTGGTGAGACCTGGAAGCACCCCAACTTGGTCATCGGCTACGTCGCGCAGCACGCCTTCCACCACATCGATCAACATCTCGACAAGACCCCTCTCGAGTACATGCTCTGGCGTTACCAGACCGGTGAGGATCTCGAGGAGATGATGAAGGCGTCCCGCCAGATCTCCGAGGAGGAGGCACAGAAGATGAAGGACGGCTCCATCGTCGTCGTCGAGGGCCAGAAGCGCATCATCGACGAGATCGTCAACCGCAAGAAGCTCAAGCAGTCCTACGAGTACGAGGTCTCGTTCAAGGCTCTCTCCTCGTCCGAGAACATCTGGCTGCCCCGTGACGACCTCATTAAGCGTGGTTTCGAGAAGGTTCGTACCGCTGCATTATCATCAACTTGCACATCCTTTAATAACGTCTTTTCATTGCTCTACAGAAAGTCCTCGAGGTCGACACCCGTGAGGCGCAGCGCCTCGGTCTCCTCCGCCCTCTCGTCCGTCGCGAGATCGAGAAGCACTTCGCCGACTTCGGCCTCGAGCCCGAGTTCGTCTCCCACAACACCATGCGTGGTCTCTCCGGTGGTCAGAAGGTCAAGATCGTCCTCGGTGCCGCGACATGGCGTCGTCCCCACATCATCTGCTTGGATGAGCCCACTAGTGCGTTGCCCATCCTCCTTTTCCTTCCCTTCTCGACCTTTTACTGATCCTCGCGTTTCAGACTACCTCGATCGTGAGTCGCTCGCTGCGCTCATCGAGGCCCTCAAGGTCTTCGAGGGTGGTGTGCTCGTCATCACGCACAACCGTGACTTCTCCGAGTCGCTGTGCAAGGAAGTCTGGGCTATGCGCGACGGCCGTCTCGAGGCTTCCGGCCACAACTGGGTTGAGGGTCAGGGTTCCGGTCCACGTATCGACAAGGCCGACGGCGAGGAGGAGGCCACCTACGATGCTATGGGCAACAAGATCGACACCAAGAAGCAGAAGAAGCTCACGTCGTCAGAGGCACGGAAGGTTCGTTGCTTTTTTTCTCTTGTGCATCGTCTCGCATTGCTTACTTCATACACCCCCCTTTGCAGCTCAAGAAGGAGCGTATTGCACGGAAGAAGCGTGGTGAGGAGGTCACCGACGACGAGCTCTAAGTCGCCGATGTGTCCTTCCTTCCTTTCCTACCTCGCTTCCTTTCTCTCGTCCTCGTGCATATCGCCCTATCATGTCCTGTTCATAGGTTCTTGTGTTTGTGTGCCACCTCTCGACTTTCATCTGCTGTTGTCTGTACTCTCATATAATCCTCCTGTTATATCCTACGCCTCAATTTCACGATTCTACTTCATGACTCATATGCGTTCGCGTCCTAGACCTGAGCTGTCCTATTGCTACTACCACAAGGGTGAAACGTGGAACCAAGCTGATTGCAAGACGAGCAGTCGACAAAGTCTGTTACGATGGAGGTCGATGAGAGGCCATGGGCTGTTCATCTGTCAGTGTCAGCCGTATCGACTGTAGTCCGAGCATCTGTCGCAGGGCCACTGCCCATCCTATCCTTCAAAACTTCCACAACAGCCTCATAGCACGCCTCCACCTCGCATAGATACGCCTCTGAATTCTGGTCCTGCATCATTCCCTTTGGCACGTCCAACGTGAACGACGGACCATATGCCGGAAAATTCGCATGGTCCGGTATCGGCGCATCGAGGGCAAGTGGGTCGTCCAAGGCCACTGAAGTCAAATACGCCCACGCCCGCGCCGTGTTGGGTGTATTATACCCACCGCCACCTAGCAAAAGCACAGGCACGTCCCATCCCCGCACGACGCGTCCCACTACCTCCCCCAGGCTCTCTAAGTCCCAATTCCCTATTGCACACGGATCTCCGGAGAGTGCGTCGACACCACACTGCAGGACGACGTAGTCCGGGTCGAAGGTCCGTTTCACGTTCTCCACGGTGTCCCATATACGGAGCAGCGTTGCGGGGCCGGCTCCGGCATGCAGGGGTATGGAAAGAGTGGACGGGTCAAAATTCGTTGACGTAGGATCGGGGAGAGAAGCGAGGGGCGAGGGAGGGTAAAAGCCCGGGGCGGCGTAGTGGATGCTCAAAGTGAGAATCTGAGGAGCCTTTGCCATGGATCCCGCGAACGCTTGGGATACCGCGTCGCTGAAGTGCAAATCCAGATCAAGATACATCACCCTCGTCTTGCCCGTTCCCTGCTTCCTGGTATTCGGACCCCGTTTCAATGCCAGAACCGCCAAAACACAATCCGCAACGTAGCAGAACCCCTTGGCAGCGCCCTTCTGTGCATGATGTCTTCCTCCGTCCCAACATATCGCAATGTGGACAGGGGAGACGGAGTCCATGAGCGCGCGTGCGGCTGTGAGCGACGCGCCTGCTACCAGAGGCACATATGCGGCCAGAGCAGGGAAGGGCGGGCAATCCGAGTCCAATCCAAACTCCTCCTCCTCCCCATTATCACCTCCACGCAGCCCAGGGCTTGCGCCACGCTTTGAATCAAGCACCGCATCTAGGTATTCCCTTGTATGATACGCCGCAAGCTCCTTGTAGCTTGCCTTCACTGGTCGGACGACCTTGACGTGTTTCGATAGCCCATATGCATGTATGAGCGTGTGCACGGCAGTAGAGCGACCTTTATTAGAAGGGAGCTGGGAAGATGCAGCGATGAGTTCAGGTGAGACGATGTACGCGACTTGGCGGTCATTGGGCGCGACGCCGTCGGGGCGCATGGTGGATCAAGATATGTTTTAAATTCAATGACGTTCAAGTAACTTTAGTTTCAATTCCGGATTCCAGAGACTCAATGACAACTGCCAGGACAAGTGTGGGGATCTGAGACTCGGACGGAGGCTATAAGAACGGAGACTGTGAGCAGAGACTTTGGGCCAGCGAAAGAAAGAGATCAAATAGAGAGAAGAGAGGGAAGGAAGGTGAGGCGTCGGAATCAAAATGTCGTCCGTATTCGTAGTCGCAGTCCGAGCGTGTTGTGTCAACCTCGACGTGTCTGTCGTCCGTAAAGTAAAGTAGGGGAAAATCATTAAAGCTTGGAGCTTGAAGCGGCGTCATAATCTAATCTACATCTCGCAACGCTCTCATCTCTTTCTTCCGCCGCATCTCGAACGCCACACGAGCATGTAGTTCAATCGTTGTCACGTCAAAAGTAAGTACATTCGCAGTCTGGAGACGGACAAGAGTCCTCAAGGCAAAATTTTCGGGTACGGGGAATCGAACCCCGAGCTGCCGCGATATCATCGCATCTGTGAGAGGCGGCAATGTTAGCCGTTACACCATACCCGATTATGGAGATCGCAGTTAATTGGTACCATGTAGAGGTCGTTACCCAGCATATCAGGGATCCGAACTTACTAGGATCATGCCACTGCAGTGCCACTGCTCTCTCTCTCGTCTCCAAAAACCTCTGCAGTCTCCTGCCTCTCCTGCAATGGGCCAATATTTCCGTATTGTCAATCTGGACAACTGCTTCCCAGACGGTCTGAATATCTCACACATGTGGGGAAAGTTTAGACAGCATTTTCAAGTTCCAGGTGTGAATGATTCACGTCTCATGGATGCACTCTGGCTTCCTGAACCTGGCCACAAGCGCGTCACAACGGCGCCTTACTCTGAGCTCAGCTCTGAGACCTTTAAAGAGCAGCACACTTCTAAACGCATCCGTCATTATCCCAAACGGTACGTACCGTTTGCAGTTTCTCCCTACGCAATCCCCTGCTCACGCCGTCCATCTTCGTCAGTTCTCTTGCGAACGAGACTGGGAAAGGATTAAGTCAACTTCCAACTGAGATAATCGACTGCGTCTACCAAAATTTTTGCGATCTCGTCACTGTCTTGTGTTTTGCGGCAACGTGTCAGCGCCACTATGAGATTGGTCGGAGGCATATCGAAGCACTTGTTTCGGCCACCTTCGTAAATCTATGGGCTGGTAATCGGCTCATCTGCCTGGGACATTACGCCAATATGGACGACCTCCCGCCGGGGATGCTTACCGACGCAGAGAGGGAGCTCATCAAATGCCGATTCGCCGACGAGGATAAGGACTCATATCGCATATATGAGCAACTCGCCGTGTTGCAACAACATGACCCCCTCTGGCACTTCCGCCGCGAGATCCCGGTTCATCGACGGTTTTCCTACGACTCGAAAAACAAGCTATCATCATTTTTCACTAAATTGGCGGGGTACGGGCTACATGACGCGAATATGGATATGGATTCAGCCAACGTTCTGCGCGACTTGATCACTGTACCTGCAGTCAAGCCTCCTAGCACCAACGAAACACTGCTCTACGGCGGTGCTTATGTCCTACGTAACCTCACCTCAAAGGAGTTCATCCGCGGCGATGCGTTTCGATATATTTGGCGCGATCCCAAGCATGCGTTCGGGCTTAGCGTTAGTTTCAACCACGCTCTCATCATCCGAATCGCCTGGTCGTCGGACCCAAGCTTGTCTATTGTATGCAATGACCGTATCAAAATTCATCGGGGTAAATGGGCTGGTCATCGCTTCGACATTTCTGGGATCGAGTCTGTTCGGAATGAAGAGGGGGCTGTTGATGGTTGGAAGGATGTCAGTCAGGGAGTTCTGAATGAGGTTGTGGAGTTTTGGAAAGGCGACGACGATGAGGAGGAGCTGAGCGACTACTCCGAGTAGTTGTAAGTGCGAAGGGTGCGGACATTTTTTCGTGGAATGTAACAAACAATTACAGGACCTTTACCAGTCGAAAGTTAGCAACGTTCACCTAGGAGAAACATCTTGTAGGCTTGTTAGTCAATCCTCAAGCGTGACGACATCAAGACTTCAGCGCTCGTTCCTTGTGAATTCAGGAGCGAACGGGGAATGATTCGGAATATATCGTTCCATGATACGTACCCTATTGACAAACTGGGCCTGATGATTAGACATTGTAGTGCATGCTGTAGACTAAGGGCCAGATGTTGGAGAAACGTCTCTCTCGATGACAAACACCTGAGGAAGCGTCATTGAATGAGCGTTGAGTTGGATGAGAACTGCATACCTCTCCACTTGAGTCGCTGCTAACGTACAGTCTGCCGTCTTTTCCAAACGCGAGGCCGACGGGGCGGATGCAACTGCCCGGACAGGAGAGCAGATTTGCTGCTTGGATGATGAAGGAATACCCCAAGCTAGAGGCTGGGGAACTCAATGGGAAGGGAACGCTATTGAAAGGGCAAGGTCGTCAACTTTCAGAGAAACAATATGCAACATTGGGAATGACATACTCAACAACGCCGTATCCAGTGGGAGGTGTGCGATCAAAAGAACCGCGGAAAGAAACGAACGCATGCCCGCTGAGAGTAGCGGGGAAGGATGCAGCTGTTGAAAGAGGCTGCGGTTTGTAGAACTTGATATCAAGAGGGACGGAATGCGCCTGCAAGAGCGAAAGTACGTTCGATGAGTATAAACCAGCGAACGCCGAAAATACAAGACACCTACCTGGAAGTGCAAGAGCGGCGGTTGGTTTTTGGCAGCATCCTTGCACCACGCATCATTGTGCAATAAATCAAGGTTCAAGCTGAATTGAGAGCCTCGCGGAAGACCCGCGTATTGTGGGACGCCAGCGATGTCAGCGTCACCGTTCCATAGAGATGTGCAGTCGGGGAATCCGTAAGATTTCGGGAGGGCGGGATATGGTCCAGTGGAATATTTGACCAGGTTCAGCTCATCTGAGGGATTGTCGTTGACGAATTGGGTAGTAAGCCCAGCGGCGCCGTCGATTGAGGCTCCGTTTTCGACGGTGTAGAGATTCAGCGTATTTGCAGTGCCAATCGTAGGTCCCACGCGATAGGCGAAGCCCCCTGGGTTCCTGATGCCGTACGCAATGATCTGACCATCTGCCCAATGCAGGGCGACAGGTGGGTAGACAGGTGGACTTGTGAGAGGGAAAACGAATCGACGGATTTGGGAGCGTCCAGATGCAGGGTCACGCGCAGTGGGATCGATATTGGTCAATGGACCTGCACCGACGAGGATCGCCCTCCTTGTGCCCGTCGTGGGGTTCTTCTCGAGCAACAGTGTATGTGTCTTGAGTTCTGTATCCACGGTCAGATCGTTTCTTTCGGTGCTTGAATGGTGTGACTCACCCCCATCTCCGGGAACACCGTCAACAACAGCGTATGGGGATGCTGGCGATGCGGAAACCGATTTCGTCGTCGCGTCGTACTCGTAGGCAATGACGCTGCTCGCCGTGCTGACATACAACGTGCTCCCGTCAACCTCGATGCCATGCGTCAAATCAGGATTCTGAACCACGACGGTGCGCTCGAATCCTGGGCTTGGACCTGATACACGCGTGAACGCCGTCACTCCGAACCCACGCTCGATAACGAGAAGATTCTGTTCCGAGTCAAAGGCAATCCCTCGAGGTGCGGTCAGATTCGAGAATGCAACTTTTGCTACAAACCCGGCGGCAACAGTGACTGGAGCCTTGAAAGGGACGCCAGTAGGCTGGAAGGTGGCGGCACCGAGGCGGGCCAGGCATGCAAGTCCAAGTAGACTCGGGAGAAGCTTCATACTTGCGATAAGGTGCTGAGTGCTGACATGTGTTACTCTACTCTTATATCTCTACAGGGCGGGGACAGGACGGGGCTGGCGTGAGCACGGGTCCTCTTGGACTGGTCAACATGCCAAGTATCTGTCAAACACCTGATCCTCGAATGTTGATAACGTTAAACTGTACGTGCCTCTGTGTTGTTGAGTATCAGTGCAGTAAACTCGGTGTATAAAAACCCGATGGTTCACTTGCAAGTGTGCGCATGAATGAGGTGGAGAACAAAAAGAACGTGGTTCAACGATGGAGCGGTTGACAGGTACAGTGTTCAACATGACTGAAGTGTCTGTCCGATGCCATTCAACGAGTGAGAGAATTCATGATGATTCTAGAATTGGCAGAGCAAGTGATGATGAGTACTGAGTCATCCCACGGCATTACACTCAAAGATTTTCCAGCCGGGGCGGCACAGAGAGGGTGATACCAAACAATGATCGGGAATGACTGCCGGTGGCGTGGACTCTTGAGAGGCACGTGAAGATCTTGCTGTATCGAAACGTGACCATCGCGTTCGCCGTTCGCCGTTGCCATTCACCCCGGCCCATTGTCGCGCCGATCGTGTCGCCACGCGCGTCGCCCGCAAGTGCCCACTGCCGGGCTGCTGAGAAGGGAGAGTAAATGGAGGCTGGCAAGTGACGATGCTATCTCTCGGGTTGCTTAGAGCTGCTGAGAGCCTTCTACCTGCTACCATGTATCCTTGTAAGTACCAATACTATACTATTTGTGCCACACGTGAACGTGCGTTGGTGCCTGGTGGATATCCCGTGGACGTCCACCTCCTAAGGAGCCGACTCAGCGTTTTGGTACCGTTGTCACACGCACGCATCATTGCGGCGCTGTCACAGTCACATGCTCTTCTGCATGTTCAACTTCATGCTTCCTCGACGTGTGGCCCTCCAAGTTAGATGCACCACTCCACGTCGTTATAAGGCAACCTTGCGCCCGGTTTCAAGCAGGCTCATACGAACTCTCAACCCGGACCTCCTCGTACCTTCAGACTTTGTTGACCTGTCTGGCGGAAGGGTACCCAGAATATACACGCAAAACGGCACTTGGGCTGGGCCTCTACGCTTCCGCAGTATCGGACGCGATGTCGTGCCATTTCCCTCCAATGCCATGGGATTCCTTTACTTGCATCGCCCACTTTCTCTTCCACCCATTGCGGCAGAAATCCGTCTACGCCTTACCCCCGAGCCAAACCCCAACTTATTTTCCACAGGTGCCGACCTTCTTCGTGACTCCATTCCCTGGTCCATAGATCTTGCGCGGATCGCGAAAGTCAAGGCCTACGCCCCCTTCAAGGCCCTGGTCACTTCCCACGGCCTCCTTGACCGCGTGTTCATGGACTCCCTGGAGCGTGCATGGGAGGGTCACACCACGCAAGATTTCGATACGCCGGTTCTACATACTCTCACCGAGCCATTTGAGATGAATCTCGAGCAAACTTCTATTTCCATCGGCATCATCACCACGCGCGGAAAAGGGCGCATCTGTTTTAAACATTTCTTCGCGGACCATCGTAGGACCTCATGCTATTTTGGATATCCACATAACGGTGGGCCTTGCTTCCCTCAGATTTGCGGCGCAATGCAAGGATTCCGACTGACAGACACGCCCACAGGACGTATCCTTGTCCACTTCGATGTCTCGCCTCTTCCGGAGCACGCCAGGCCCGCCTCCCGCCCGCCTGTCCTCGTCTTACGTGTCCTGAAAA